GCGCGTCGCGCGCGGTCCCGACGGCGGCCCACGAGGGACAGGAGGGGGTCTGGAAGGGGGGGGGGGGGGTTTATTGGGGGCACAGGGAGCCGTGGGGGAGCTACAGGGGGCGACTTCGGGACCTGAAAGGGGGTTAGGATGTGTAATGGGAGCTTACCAGGATCTATAGGGGCCTGCAGGCCGTGTATGGGGAATTACAGACTGAAAACACTGTAAAAGCTTATAAAGAGAGTACAGGATATCACAAGGGGCTGCGGCGGGGTCAGGGGGCGTCTCTGAGGTGATGCAGGAACACCTAGAGGGGTCCAGGGGTCTGAGAGGGTCTGGAGAGCCACGGGGGGCTGAGGAGGGGCTGCAGGGGGGCGTCACACAGCGTCCTATGTGGGACCTGAGGGAGTGTGGGGAACCTCAAGGGGAGTTACGGGGAGCTCCCTGCTGAAGGGCTCTAGGGGCCCGTGGGAGGGGCCACGGAGGCACGTGGGAGAGGAGCCATTATAGGAACACGTGATATCGCACTCTAATGACGTCAAGGAGCCGAGGGGCTGCCGGGAGATGTAGTCCTATCTTATCCTCCCCCCGTTCCCCAAAGTAACAGACCGAGACACGGCGATACCCAGCGCTTTATTCACAGACCAGGGGGCACCGCGGAGACCCGGAGTGGGGGTCCAGGTCACTCCTGGGGGGGCAGGGAAAGCCGCGCGGGATCGTAGTAGTTGGAGGTGAGCAGGGGCAGCCCCAGCCGCTCCCGCTCCCGCACCTGGATCTCGGCCTCGCGCCGCGCCCACTGCGTCAGCCTGCGGGGAGGGGTCAGCCGTGGGAGGCAGCCCCAGCCGGGGGGTCCCACACACCCCGCAGATCCCAAATCCCCCTCCCCCTGGTAGTCCCTATAGGTCCTTATAGCCCCCCAAACCCTCCCACGGGTTCCCCACGGATCCCATCCCCCCCCAGCCTCCCACGACACCCTGTAAGTCCCCAGGGTCCCCGCTAGACTCCCATCCAGCCCACGGTTCCCCCTGAGGGCTGCCAGGAAACCTGATATTCACACAGGACCGCCCTGGGCTCCAGAAGGGCTCTCAGGGATCCCCAAATCCCCTCAAGGGCTGCTTTGAATGCCTCTGGCCCCCCCA